TAAAGTAGAACTTTATGATTGGTTAACTTTTTATTTTTAAAGTAAATTTTTTTACCCGAAAAATATGGTACACAACCCTGATGACAATCACAAATCATACAGAACTGGGTAATCATATATTCCTATAACAACAATTTGATGTGCCTATAGAAGTCATTTAGCCAATTAGTCATCCTCAGGCTTTGACAAAATAAAAGCCTCCCTCCCCAATACATTTGTGCTTTAAGGATTGTCTGAGAACCAGAATATTTTTTTTTTACGGCCTTAATACTGAAATTTCTTTTTAAAAATTGAAAGGTATCGAGAATGCGAGAATGATAAAGAATTAACTATAGTTTAAAAAATAAATAAATGGATAACAATTTTTTGTTATCAGCTACGGGAACAGTCTAACAATTTCAAAACAAAATGTAAAAATATTTAAAACAAACATTTAAATATGGATCTGCTGTAAAGGTAATGAATATTCCAGGAATTCCCAGTAAATTGTTACACTATACAGCAGACTACAGATCTATTCCTTCTCAGTTTGTAAAAAGAAGAAAAGAAATGCAATACAAAATATTCTCATAATGCATCATATAACTACAGCACTGATATTTTGCTTAATGTTTCTAGAAGACATGGTGGTAGGTCTTATTCATAAAGTAATTTAAGGATGCAAAATTTTCATTGGATGCAAGTTAAAATTATAGTACAAATTTAAGATCTTAGCCAAAGAAAATGTTGCATTTTTAATATATTATACTTGAAATTTTAAGACACACTGAGAATATTTTATTTTGACCAATAAAAATGGGATGGGTTTACTGTGTAAATGGCATTTCATTTGCAATATCTAATTCTGATCTGATCAAACCGGAGAAAAATCTTTCTCAGCAAACAGGCATCAATATGTTTCTTTTCTATTACCTTACACTTTTATATTTCAAAATGTATCTTTAATTTGCTCAACTACTAAAAAAAACCAACACGTCCCTGCTTAAATTCAATATTTCAAAAAGCATCTTAATTTGGTTGGCGAATTTTGGTCAGCGATGAAATTGTCTAGATTCATTTCAGAAGCCAATTCTTTGGTTTGCGAGAAAATACAATTGTCATTCATTGGTTTAATGTTTTAGTTTATTAACCACTATATATAGACTGATTGATCCAGTCCATATTTTCCTGGACGTCTTCTCTTTCTCTTATTTCTTTGAGACTTGAGGTCAGGCGTCGATATCAAAGCAGGCTTTTGACTTTTAATTCTTGCTGCTTCCGAGACCCAAGTGTTCAAAGTAGATACTGGAACATTCATTGATCTGGCAACGCTAGTTAAACTTTCTCCTTGTAAAACTTTATCGATTAACTCTACTTTCAGTTCACGAGTATAAGATCTGTAGCTGCTAATACGCGAATTACTAGTCTTTTTTTCAGACGAACGTGTATTTGAGCCTACAGGCATTTCGTTCTGATCAGTTTCCTCGTCGTCATCTATGGAAATACTTTGAAGTTCGTCAAGCCAGTCTTTCAATAAGGGGACAGAAATGTCAAATTTTTTAGATACTGATTTCAGACTTTCTCCATTTCTCAAGAATTCCACAATTTTAAGTTTCTCTTTGAGTGTATAGATATTCTCTGAATCAGAGTCAACACTGATGTCTTGCTTAATATTCACAATGACGTTGCTATCTTTAAGCCACCCTCGAAGAGTTGATTCTGGTATCCCAAAATCTCTAGCCACAGAGGTCGGGGCTCGACCTCTCACAACCTTTTCAACAATCTTCCGCTTTTCATCGAGTGACCTCCGTTTCCTAGGTCGTGGACAGAGCAAACTTATCTGCATTAACAAACAAACTTGTCTCAATATTAATTTTACACATCAAGTTTGATGTCTGAACATAAAATGTTTATTGCCCACCTTTTTAATAGTAACTAGTCTTATATCTTTTAATCTTGCATAGTCTTATGGTAATTTTCAAATTTAGGTAATTTTGAATGAGTTTAGACATTTTATTAAAGCTTTGTGATCTATTTTGTTTTTATTGGTGCCTGTAGTAATTCACTACAACGTAGCAGAGTCTTGAAATATTGCAATTAAAATACCATTTACAATTTCAACATCAATTTAGGACTAATTGTTGTCGACTGGGAGTGCCTGTAATAATGATCTGTAAGAAAAGAAGGGGTTTGGACAGAAACAGCGTCTCAAAACAAGACAGACAACATGGAGCACTCAAGTCTATAAAACTTGAGCCACTTTGTCAGTCTTAGTTATCACTTGAAATAAAACTTTATATAAGACAAAATGACCAAAATCTTATAACCTAAGGCGTAGGCCAAGAGCTTTTGCAATTAAAAGTGCCTTTGTTTTTTTTTTCCTTGGTCCGACGCAACCTAACGAGGGAAGGGGATGTAAATCCAATTACCAAACTTAATATCCTTAAGTGAACAAAACCGTTTATTGTATATTTTCACAAGATTGAATAAAAATATGCATCACAGCAGAGACTTGTTAATCGAAAATGACTCAAGAGAGAATTTTCAATAATTGACTGCCATCTAAAAAGGTCAATTCTATATACATTACAACAGAGTGCTCTAAGTTTATCGAAAAGAGAGACTTTTCCAAGATCAAAGTCAATATATTGGACTTGTTCAGTTTGATTATGGGATTTACGGGACTGTTGTCTCATGTTTCCAACACTTTTCTTTCGACTTACCTGCTTTAAGTGAGCTTTGAATTTCCAATTCTTGGGTTTGTTTTTATTCCTTAAAATTTTACATGCATACGATGTATTTGGATATTAATTAGTTTTTCAAGTAACTATGGAATATCTCAATCTTGTACAATGGAAAATTGACCATACTTTACTGAGTCACACGCTTACAAATCTTTACCACAGGATTCTTTGAATTGTGGGCCAATTTGACTTTTTATTGTCAGACATAATTCAGAGATTCCAATAAAAAAAAATCTCATTAACTTGATAGAATAGGAAATTCAAAGTTCACTAAGGAACCTACTGTGTCAATCTGGATACTGATACACTGTGTAGCTGTTAAGAATCTATACATTTGTACAATCCAGATTCTTTATTCAAATACTGATCTGTTTTCTGACACATTTGTGAATTGAATAATTCATACACAAAGATAGGATTTAATTGCAGTAAATTTTGAAAAACTTTTCGATCAATGTTTAGGTTATTGACAGCTATACAGGTATTGTTTCTTGTGTCTTAAATGTGTTGTAAGTGCATGCATGGATGGGCTTTCTAAAAATAAATAATAATGTACCTTCATGAAGATGTATGTGCATGTACAAAAGAAGCAACTGAGAACTAAGTTTGTCCATTAGAAAAGTTGATGTGAACACATTATCATACATTGTAAATAGAACCTTTGATTCCAAAGGATTTTTTTTTGTAACTAATTTCTTCACCTTTTTTTCCATATAGAAAAAGCAAAATATCCAAATAGTTCAGAATACATGTATATGCAGTCGCTTTCTAACCTTTCAAAGCAACATTTATAATGGACAACCTATTGAGAATAGATCTGTATCAAATAAAAGCCAGGAAATAAATGACAACCACATAGGAAACAGATGTAACATCTTAATGACTAGCTAAATTAAAAGATATGACTAGTGTTGTTCAGGTCAAACAAATTTAACTTTTATTTCTTCTAGATAATGATAAATAAGGCGTGCCTTGTGAACTTAAAAGCAACCAACGATTTTTGTTTTAAAATTATTTTGTTCCAAACCCCCAAATTTAAATAGGTATTTAATAAGAACTTCAAATTGTTGCCTTAGGTCGTAGTGTCCAGATTGTTTGTTTCCAAAGTTGAAGAAATGCTTTCGTTCGTTTGGTGGTCATTCATTTCAAGGCCAACTAACACTGTCTTTGAATCAACAGAATATGGGTGGGTATCAAATACAGGTGTCAAAATTTTGTAGTTACATTGTACATATTGAATCTGTATGCACATTCATTCAATGATGACAATCTCCCTTTTAATTTTTATGTTTCCATACGACGTGCAATATTTCACATCCAAGATGTTCAAATGTTAAACATGACTTTTCAAATGAATGTGTAGTAACAATATTCTTGTTCATATTTTTTAAAGCTGCTAATCGTCATTTGAGGGATCTAGAAACCCTTTCAAACTACATGTATAATAATGTGAAAATTGATTTGCTATAAGTAGTCAAAAATTGGTTCATTTCCTTTCAATACTTAAAAAGGTATGACGAATAAAATATTTCTCAAAACAGCAGAGAATATAAACAAGCAAGCGTCACATGTTTAAGTGTTTGGTGAAATCTTTTTAATCTGACTGAACCCTACCAGGTAGATCTTCTACCATTAACATTTTGATTTTTTCTTTATCCAACAATCAATTTGAGTGCATTAAACTGAAAAATTAGAATTTGTCCAAAAAATGCAAATGGCGATCAGCAGCGTTAAGAAACTGAAGTAATAATTATATGGAAAGAGGAACCTAAATGCGTGTAAATTATTTAATTTGATATGTTTGGTTTTTTAAGATTTAATGATTTGTTTTCTGACAAAACACGAGCACAGTACAAATTTTTTTTTTAAATTTTGAAAAGAAAAAAAAAAAAGAAGAAAAAATCAAACCATTGTTTAATAATTTTCTATCAAGTAAAAAATTGACTTAAAAAATGAGAAATCACAGAAATATTTTCATGAACAAAACTAATTGAACCACTATGATTATCATTTCTGAATAGCTCAATATTTTAATTTGAAAGTTTCTGACATGGTAAATAGGCTTTTTTTGTCTCATTTTGGTTTTTGATTTATGAAGTAACTCCCTTTAAACTAATGCTAATAAAATTTTGATGATTGAAATAGGATTATTACAGATTCACATGCAATTTCTGAAACCTTAAATTCCTTAAAATGTAATTGTAATTATTTGACCCATTTATTCTGTTGGATTTAAGACAAGTGTTAGAAATAAAGTAAATTGTAAATTTAACGTACCTGTTGATTATTTTGAGATGAAGAGGCGCTTGTACCAGCAACTAAAATATGAAAATTAAACAAATTAATAATTGTCAAATCAAATGGAGTTTTATCGTCCCACTCTTCTTCACCAAATTATGTATAGACAGGTGCATTACTGGCAACTCTGCATTTGTACCATCAAAATGCCATTCTTTGCCAAGCCCTCATACTGTACCACTTACAACAAATAACAAAGCTGGTAAATCCTGAGGATCTTTCTCTGCGAACACCAGGATCTAACTGTGTTTACTCAATAATCCAGCGACTGACTTAGGGTCGTTTTATAACTCTTCTGCTCCCCGTGACATGTGGGAACTAGGGTTGAACAATGCTCGAGATTTTTCTTCATCCACACAGGGATTAGAGCTCACAACAGGGAGATTGATCAAATTCTGGGACAGTTTGTTTGCTTTTCCTCTTATTCTAAGATAAAGATTATTTATCCAGAATTTCTATATGATTCTTACCTGGTAAATAAGCGCCTTCAGAATGTGCACCGGGTAAGTTAGGAAGAGAACCGCTGTAATTTTGACTAGGATTATTAGTTTCGTTAGCATGTAAACCAACAGGATAAAGTCCTAAACTTTGTTCACGTAAACTAGCGAAAAATTCATCATCATTTGATTCACCGCCATAACTAGAAAGACTATTATCACCTTGTGCCCCTGAAAAGACAAACAGTAAGAATTATTAACAAAGATATTTAGGAATATAGAGGAAGGTACATGTATGTGTAGATATAAGGATAAAATAACGGTTTTGCTAATATTTAAAAATTCAAGGAATAAAATATAATTCCAACAATAATTAGGATACAAATACAGCTGGGCATGATTAATTTTGGCAAAATCTGATTATCTAAACTATAAAATACAAACAATACAGACAGAGTGTTTTGATCTTATTCTATGTTGCTTGGAGTAACTAATGGACTTTGGCAAATCCTGGCACAAGCACTGTTCAGGGTTTTAAGATCAGTACACTTAGCCTAAATTACATTGTAGATTAAACTTAAAGACACCTACCTCCAAAACTACCTGTGGAATGCCTTTGATGACCTTGATTACTCATTGAGGAATCGTACATGTTGGAATCGTCAGTTTCAAATAAACTATCAATTTCATCTTTTACTTTAGTTAAATCTATTTCTATGACTTCAGGTTCGTTTGATTTTGGGGGACTTTTAATTGGTGTACTTGGTTCCGCTGTTTCTGTCGTTTCTGTTGCTTCTGTTGAAAGAGTTTCTGGAGGAGGATCTGATGCAGGTTTATCAGAGTCACTAGTTTCACTATTTTTACTTTCACTGTCTTTGTCTTTTTCAGTTTCAGGCACAAATGATAAATCATGACTAGTCACAGATTCTATTCTAAGTTCTTTTTCTTCTCCTTCGCTTGTTGCATCTTTATTACTAGCTACAACACTACCATTTTCTACTTTTATCACTTCAAATTTAATGTCAGGTTTTTCCGCTGTTTTTTCTCCAACCTTTTCCACATCACTGGATTCTGTTTCTGGTTTATCAGCACCAGGAAGAGATTGAGCTGGGGTGGCTGAAACTGATTCGGGTGGAATGGATGATGGAGATGAATTTGTTTCACTAGGTATGGACGGTATTGTAGATGGAGTAGGTAATCTTTGTGAAAAATTTGTGGGCATTCTGCGAGGTGATGTTGCTGGCAAGTTCATTGGGTGACGCTGGGGTGACGATAAACGAGGCATTTTAGCCATTTGTTGAGGCGACATTCTCTGATCAATAGGCCTACGTCTCATTTGTGGTGCCCTTACAGGAAAACCACCTGGTCTGGAAAACTGACCACGCTGCTGTCCCATTTGATAACGCCCTCCACCCATTGCACCAGGTGGATGGTCATCTGTTAAGTCAACACTGATATCATATCGAGTTTTTCCCAACACATTTGGAGTGGGAGGAGGAAGAGGTCTATCTACATTTTTCTTTGGTGTTTTTTGTTGGGGATCAGTGGCATAAAAACTTTTACTGATAAATGTTGTTGAAGATTCATCACTTTTTGACACTTTTTCATTGACGATATAATTAAATTCTGAGTTACTGTCAACAGTTAAATATAAATGGCCCACAACTTTCACATTTTTATCAAATTCAACATGGCCGTGACACACAGCTTGTAAATTCTTCACCAGGGCAGAAATAAATTGGTTGGCTGATTTTTCCTCTATTGTAGACATTTTGGTGATTTAATGATACTAAAAAAAAAAAATTTTTTTTATTAAACTTTCAAGTTCAATATGTTGAAAAGTAGCATCTTATAGCTGTTTATGTAGTGTTACATGTACAATCAAATCTTATTCTCAATGTTTAATGTCTGCTTCCATGGAATGGATACAGTTAGGAAACAAACTTTCAAAACACTTTACACACTGATAATTGGGGAAACCACATTACTTTAAGTTCAGTTTGGGGCCAATTATGAATTAATAAGGTGAATTAAAACATGTAGAATGCATGCCAGTTAAATCGTCCAAGAGCAAAATCGTCCACACGAAAAGTCTATTCCAGGTTATTCCAGTCGTCCACAAATATCAAAATAAATTGGTTGAGTCGTCCACATGACATTGGTTGACTCGTCCACACGCCCATGGGAACTTAGTTTGTTACTGGGGGGGGATGAATAAAAAAAAAATGCCTTAGAAATACAATGTATCATGCCACAGTTTACCGGAAAACCGTTCAACGATAAATTTGATAATCATGTAACTGATTATTCAGTTGCCTTTGTGAAAATAAGCCACATGGCAAATGAAGACAATCAAAGCAATTAGTGCATTTACTACTACATTGTATCTCATTTATGTCAACATCTTTAAGTCATTTGATTTTCAGATGCGCATAAGAGCCATTTGAAGCTTCCTTTTCGTATTTCTATGTTACAGTGAAATATATACATGTATGTCACGACGGCAGTTTTTATTTGCACTAAGGCAAAACTTTTAATTTACTTTCGTCACTACGGCATTTTTTTGAACTGGGAAACTTTGACATATATATCGATATTATTACGGAATTTGTCCAGAATTAGGTCACCACAACACCCTTAAATTTACGTACACCGCAGTCCATATGAATATCGTAATATGAATCTGTTTTATTTCTTCGAAATCAGAAGACCTAAAAATTCTTGCAAGTCTGCAAATCTGCTTTGGCTCAGCGACAAGAAGATTCATGCAATTCTATAATCCGTATCCACGTGAATTCCACCAAATATAAGTATCGTGGTACCAAACTTGCGTTTTAAATGAATACTTCGCCATTGAGGTGTTGAATTCTGATTGTAAAATATCCATAATAATACTGTAAATTGATTCTCAAAACACGACTTCACACCTGTGCATGACATTATAATATTACATGCACATCGTGCAGCGGACATGTAACGCCCTCTGGATTTTTTTTCTTCTCACAACCCGTCTTTATTTACGCTAACAATTATATTATATGCAATATTTTCCCGACATAATTATTTTTATTTGGTCATATTTTCCAGTAAATTATTCATAGCCTTTATATCTGGAAATTGTTTTGAACTTCTTAAATGATTAAATACACTAGACGAGCCGTGTGTATTTTCATTCTAGCCACCAGCAAGCGATGTTACGGTAGAATTAGGTCAGATAGAAAAATACAGCCACAAGAACTCAGGAAAGAAACAAAACAATAAATTCCTACTTTCGAATATGCCGTGGATTACGCGCATATACAACGGTGATTTTATTGTCAACATCGGCAAATTGCAGTCGTGATATTCTTAAATAAATTACCACGGCTAAATATGCTGTAGTTATTATTTATTTTCTACGGCAATTTCGCTAAATACTACGGCAATTCCCGCAGTGAATTTTGACCCCTGTATGTTTACATTAAGAACGAAGTAGTGCTTTTATTACATTTTCAGAAGTGATTCAGCAAAAATCTTTCTAACATTGTTGATTTACACTTAATGTACAGGTAAGTTTATTCAATTTAATGTGTCTGTGTGTATTACACATCTACCAGTACACCCATTAAAAAAAAAACCCAACTATTAAAGGAGCCAAGTCTTTTAACTCAATATCATCCACTGTCTTTGACATTGCAAACCGGTACTTTATATGGGATGCGGGCTGTTTTATCAACCTTGTTATTATAATTGCAGTCAATTAACTGAGTTGTACTTATTGTTAAATAAACTACTAAACACTTGCTTATTGTTAAATAAACAATATGTATGAAATAAATAAGTTTTGGTCCTCGATTTTTGTTGATTACCAATCACGACCAAAATTAGTTTGTGTCCCATTTCTAGATGCCAAAGAATAGAGATTTGGCTCCTTTAAAATCAATATTCCCCCAATAAAAACTCAACTTTTGGACTAAAATGGAATAAAAGAAGGGCAGTGTATATTTTGCCATCCGACGGTTCTTTACTTTAATTACTATTTAGCCGTCACTTCCGTTTGACATGCGCAGTTGTCTTATTTCTGGACTTATCAGTTTTCGCTTTGACAATGATGCCGTCTGACTTTACCCCACCAGACCAGACAGTTCTATTCGTCCTTTGTCTAACATTGCTTCTTTCTCCGTTTCGTATAAGGAAGCAAATAGCCATACTTGAATTTCTGATGGTAGAAACTGGAGAATTATTTTTAAAAGAAAATAAGATAATAAATGTAATTTGTAAAAAAGCATTTAGAATATTATTCTATTTTGGTCGAGGGCGCATTTCTGCGGATTTTGTTTTTTAATTTAAGTACTTAGACTGTCAATGGTTTATGTTTTTCCCGTAAAATAGTGCTTCTGCGCCAAACTTGAAAGACAAGTTGTTTTTAATGTTCCAAAATGGTGGAATATATCAGGAATCGACAACTGCGCATGTCGAACTTAAGTACCTACGGCTAAATAGTAAATAAAGTAAACAACCGTCGGACGGCAAAATATACACTTCGTAAAAGAAATGTAAGCTTCTAAAATGCTTCACTTTGTTGGACTTACTAAATCAAAAATATAATTGCCCTTGAATTTGTTGAAATTTTGCATCAATCCATGGATATCTAAATCCAAAGTTGTGACATCAAAAACTAAATTTATTAAAAAAAGAAGCCAATTTTCTCTTTCAAAATATTAATATTATCTTACCTGACATTCAAATGCATTTAAAATTTAAGCTATGACGTAAATATGGAACTTGAAATAAAACCCCAAAGCTACTGCCCTACTTGCAGACCGTTGAATATTAAAAGCATGGGAAGACAAAGGCCCGGGCTGCAACTGCACACGACTGAGCGCTCATTCATAGATTGGCGCACATATTGAGGTCACCGTGGCATTTAGCAACAAGCAAGCTGAATGGTGGCTCATGGTCTAGCTTGATTCTGAGCAGGTGCGCTAGGCCTATTTCAATATGATACGCATCACGCCCCACATTCAAACAGTAAATTCGCAACAAAATCAGCATGCGAACATTCCGGGAATAATTTCAAAGATTAACAATAATCTATTAATAGTTACCGTTATAAAAATTATTATGTCAATGAGCACTGGAATTCCGCGAACCCCTTTTTAAATATTTCACATCATTTACTCATCTCAGCCAACATGGCGCTTCTTCTTTAATACAATACTCGGTATGTTCCGGTGTTTTCCGTGAGCATAATTTAATTTTGCGGATTGACTACAGGAATCTAGCACGGTTTGTTTGTTCAACAATCCTAACAATTAACATAAATGCGTTTGAATATATATCATGAGTATTATAATCTTGTTTGTAAATATAATTATTCATGTATAGATGACAACAATTTGAATGGTATTTCAAAGATCCAATAATCGTTTTATAGTTCAACGCTGATCCGTAAACCAATACTGTTTGCGTATTACGGAAATTAATAATGCACACTAGCCTCGCTTTGAAACTAAGATATTAATTGCATTATTGCGTGGTCTGGGGCTGGAAAATTCCTAACGAAATAACGATAAAAATAATGATAACGCTTTATTATAAGTGGCTGAATGTGTAAGTATTTTATACTTTGTCATAGGTATTCGATTCCAGAAACTTTCAAATATACATATACTAAGGCAATGACATGTTATCAAGATATTATATTAATATAAAGGAAGATTCGTAAAATTTAGGGGCGCAACGCTGCGCGTGCTCTATAATAATATACGCATCCAGGGTAGCGTGTTTTGTCCTGGATGACCTATTTATTTACGCCAAGAAGACATTGTTCTTGTCGCTTCTAATGCATACTCAGTTCAGGACAATTGCACTTAGGAGTTCCATAGCAGGGCCAAATAGGACACTGGTTTAGATAGATTTCATACTATTTTATGCTTAGACTACGAGTACTACCCTGTCCCTAGTACTAGTGTACTACGACGACTACATCTGCTGAAATTTACATAAAATTAGTTTTAAAAAGTAGCTTTGTTAATTGTGTAAGAGTATGTAGGCTAACAGTAACACTCACTGTGACAGGATATCATTAAAAGAGCTCACTTAAAGTTAAGATGTATTCAGGCTAACAGGATACAACTTCTCATCTGAAGAGCTCACATGGTCTGCAGGGGGAGAACGGCCAAACTAAAACCACCATCTATAACTGCCTTTATTTAACATAAAATAAATATGTAAATTATTAATTAATGCAACATTGTTAAATTTCTTTGTCATTGCGTGCATGAATGCCAGTCAAGTTGTCCACAAGCAAAGTCGTCCACACGAAAAATCTTGTTAAATCGTCCAAACTTGTTGGTGGAGTCGTCCACACGACTTAGGTTAATTTTGGGATAACGCCAATTAACAAACAATACAATGATCATACAATAATCAAACAATACGATTAACTTTATTACAAAAACATCGGTGATTCGATCTGAAATCAAATAACATCAGTGATTAGATCTGAGATCAAATAAAAAGAACTGTCATCAAGTACACTGGCTATTTCTTCCATGCGATTAAATTGTGTACAAGTCTTATTCTTAGTTGCGGACGACTCCACCAGTGCCCTGTGGATGACTCAACCAACAGGTGTGGACGACTTTACTTATGGACGACTTGACTGGCACCCATGTGTATCCACAAAAATGGGTTTCAAAACTAGTTCGACTACCTTTGATGTTCTGGTTTCATTTTTAAGCCAAAATTTTGTGATTTTTTAGTCAAGAGTGTTTAACTGTTTTTATTATAAAGGGTTATTTTTTTTGTGGGTGCAGGTATGTGTGAGAACTTTACACTACACAAAAATTGACTAATAAAAATTGTCTGATTTACTGTTAATATCAACTGTAGAAGGCCTATTTGGTTGAGGTAGCCAAATCATTTACCGCATATGCTTTATATCATAAGGTTTGTCATTAAGTCAAGTGGGATGATTTCCAATCCCAGCTTGTGACAAGTACAGTAATAGGGATGATTGTTCAACCTCGAGGGTTTTCTCCGGGTCCTCTGGTTTCCTCCCACTGCTAAAGACCAACTTGTAAGCGAAGAAGTGAAATAAAATTGAACCATATGTTAGTCCCAGAATTACGGTACCTTGTTTGTTTTAAGTGAACTGTAAACCCCATTCTACTCAAAAGAAACCATATGCGGATATGCTTGATAACTGATACGTTGGAATATATTCTCAATTCACAGATTATGATTTCTTTCACTTTATATTAAATATTTGATCATTGTCAGGCACAATCTGCCAGGAGCCTGTCATTACGTGCATGGTCAGTGCAGATTTGTCTTTTTTGAATATTTTTATTGGTATTTTTGATAAATGTATTAAATGTCCCGGCACAGAGTTAAAAATATGATGAGATAAGTACATGTACATGTACAACCTGATTACAATGTAAAACTGATATGGTTCACTATTACTTAGTATGTATAGAAAATGTTTGGAAACTATACAGTAGTGATTAATCGGGTGTGTAGCTATAAAAGTTTCTACTACTAGTTTGAAATCATGGCTTTCTAATACCCACCACTATGGAATAGACAAAGCAAACCAATATGTTGTATATGTCTGTCATTAAACAGGTATTATGCAAGACCTAAACCTGCCCATTAATATATAAATACAGTATAAACTATTAATTAGACATTTATTAACATGAAGAGATCATAATCAACTCTCTATACCATCAGATGGGTCCAATTTTAATTAGATTGGAAAGGTTCAGCCATTTAAAGATTTACCGTAAAAATGGTGAAGTGAGGCTTAGCCTCGAACAACCAGTACAGTGGTTACAGTCAGTAAACACATCTTGTCAAACCTTCAAAGGCTAATATCTTAGATCAAAATAAAGTAATTTGTGTTATCTATTTTTGAACTATTATAGCAAGAATGGCCATCTCTATATCTAAATCTTACATAATACATTGTTAATTAGTCATTCGTAACACCTTAGTCAAATAACACCTTAGTCAAATAACACTTTAGTCAAATAACACCTGCCGTAATTAATGACTACAGTCTGATAATTAACCATTTTAACTGACTAATAAACATTCTGAATATGTACATGTAACATGAAGACTTTGATCTGTTTATGGAAGATATTTCCATTAGCAAACGTCATGTGAACAATATAGACTTTACAGAATTGGTGTATTAAACATATAATCATTACTTCCAGGCAGACCTTGTACAATATCGAGGGTGGAGGTGGTTGGCTGAATGGTTAGCATGTGCGCGTTGTATTGTAAGATCTGTCATTAATTCTACTGGCGTGGTTTGGATTCCCTGGTTGTACGTGACAAGGAGTAGGGTCGCCTGTCCAAGCTCGTAGGTTTTCTCAGGGTGTTCCGGTTTCCTACCACTGCTAAAGACCCCTACGCACAAGCAAATTATTGAAATAAGAAAAGAACCAGATGTTAGTCCAGAAATGACCTAATTTGTGTCGAGTGGACGTTGAACCCCAGTAGTATAATGCTAGGGTAGAGTGCCCCATGCAACCAAAATTTTCCCTACTGAAAGTTGAACATGACACGGCGAATGTGCATGCTTCAGTGACTTATCTTGAAGTGATTTCTGGCTAGTCACGTGGTGCGATAACAGTCAGCACAATAGTCTATGAATCTATAAATGGCCATCGTACGTGAAATCCTCTACACATCTGTCAACTATTACAGCCGTAAAAAATCCATTGTTGATGATTCTGGATAGCTGTAATATTTAGCTTTTTAGTTATTACAGCAGCTTTAGAAATTACGATTGTTTTATTTTTTAAATTGCTTTATCATTAAATATACCGTGCATGTGCCTAAAGTCAATTTCTTTTTCCAGCGTTCTGTTATGTTTCGTAAAAAAGTAGTCAATCAGACGGAGAATGGTCGGGCATGTAACCTATTTTTTTTACTCAAAAGTACAACATGACCATTTATTTAGTGACTATAAATGTGCAGAACTGTTTTAAGGCTTGGTATACATGTAGGCCTATATATAAATATTGTGGTGTAATTGTCGAGATATTTGGAGATATTTATTTACATGTATTGTAGGGCACCCTAATAATGCTGTATGTAATGCATAAAGATGATACAATTATTGATCCTTGCATTTATACAAATCCACGAATTCCACACAGATTATTCATCTCCTTGCAAAATAGTACAAAAATCATTTTTACATGCCATACCCTGCCCATACTATGTGAAAATTCAAGTACATGTACATGTAGGCCTAAACGCAATTGGCTAGTTACCAATACATGTAAGTGTTCAGGTATAATTTGGAAAGCGGTTTTTGTGTATTAACTTGTCTATGGTATAACCCTTGTTGGAAGTGGACGTAAAACTCCAGGAACAAACAATTGAATGAATTGTGTAGTAATACTTTGATCTAGTTCTTCTGCACGTTGAGCCATAGTAGTGGCACATCGAGTATGGCACTGGTGTAAGTGAATTTAAAAGTAAGACATTACCCCTATTTGATGTCATTTGCACTCATCTTGGACTACTAGCATTGTTGATTTGTATTTCTCTTATAATAATGAACTATATTTTTTTATATTTCAGAGTTTAGTCAAAATGACAACCGAAGAGAAATCAGCTAACCAATTTATTTCTGCTCTGGTGAAGAATTTACAAGCTGTGTGCCACGGCCATGTTGATTTTGATAAAAATGTGAAAGTTGTGGGCCATCTGTATTTAACTGTTGACAGTAACTCAGAATTTAATTACATCGTTAATGAAAAAGTGTCAAAAAGTGATGAATCTTCAACAACATTTATCAGTAAAAGTTTTTATGCCACTGATCCCCAACAAAAAACACCAAAGAAAAATGTAGATAGACCTCTTCCTCCTCCCACTCCAAATGTGTTGGGGAAAACTCGATATGATATTAGTGTTGATTTAACTGATGACCATCCACCTGGTGCAATGGGTGGAGGGCGTTATCAAATGGGACAGCAGCGTGGTCAATTTTCCAGGCCTGGTGGTTTTCCTGTAAGAGCACCACAGATGAGGCGTAGGCCTTTTGATCCAAGAATGTCACCCCAACAAATGGCTAAAATGCCACGTTTATCATCCCCCCAGCGTCACCCAATGAACTTCCCATCAACATCACCTCGAAAAATGCCCCCAAATTTATCTCATAGACTAAATGCTCCATCATCCACTTTACCGTCCATATCTAGTGAAACAAATTCATCTCCATCATCTATTCCACCTGAATCAGTTTCAGCTACTCCAGCTCAATCTCTTCCTGGTGCTGATAAACCAGAAAGGGAATCCGGTGATAAGGAAAAAGTTGGAGAAAAAACAGCGGAAAAACCTGACATTAAATTTGAAGTGATAAAAGTAGAAAATGGTAGTGTTGTAGCTAGTAATAAAGATGCAACAAGTGAAGGAGAAGAAAAAGAACTTAGAATAGAATCTGTGACTAGTCATGATTTATCATTTGTGCCTGAAACTGAAAAAGACAAAGACAGTGAAAGTAAAAATAGTGAAACTAGTGACTCTGATAAACCGGCATCAGATCCTCCTCCAGAAACTCTTTCAACAGAAACAACAGAAACAGCGGAACCAAGTACACCAAATAAAAGTCCTCCAAAATCAAACGAACCTGAAGTCATAGAAATAGATTTAACTAAAGTAAAAGATGAAATTGACAGCGTTTTAGAATCAGATGCAGGGTACATGTTTGATTCCAGTCAAGGGCAACAATCATTCTCAGGTACATATACATGTATAATGATTAACATGATAAGCCTGATAAGAGTTCAGAATGAAAATACTCCGAGTTGAAACTTGTACACTGTACTTGACAAGGAGTAAGGTCAACTGGCCAACCGTGTACAGGGTACTCCATTTCCATTCCATTACTAAAAAAACCTACATGTATGCGCTGTTAAACCCCATTTCCCTCTGTCTTTTTTCTTTCTTCTGGGTAGCAAATTGACAAAGGTCGCTGTAAACCACCTAGCTCTTCTTGAATTAGTCAAACTTGGTACATTGTACATTACACACAATATTTCAGATTCATTGGAATGACCCACAATGCCTTTTCACTTACTGTCCATGTATAATAAGTACAGATAATGCCTGTATATTTTTGGGTTGGTTTTGTCTGATCATAAATCCTTCTGTTTTGTTTTTTCAGGGGCACAAGGTGATAGCAGTCTTTCTAGTTACGGCGGTGAATCAAATGATGATGAATTTTTCGCTAGTTTACGTGAACAAAGTTTAGGACTTTATCCTGTTGGTTTACATGCAAACGAAACTAATAATCCTAGTCAAAATTACAGCGGTTCTCTTCCTAACTTACCCGGTGCACATTCTGAAGGCGCTTATTTACCAGGTAAGAATCATATAGAAATTCTGGATAAAAAATCTTTATCTTTATAAGACAAGACTAATTGTCCGTCAATTTTCCTGTCGCTGGTTCATGAAAAGCGAGGCATCTCGGGAGTTTTCATGTCTGGTTACCATGCAAGGCTGACAAGTAAAGTGCTGCATAGTTGATCGGATGGGTTGCACATGTAAGAACTCTTGACAGTTGAACTTTGATAAGTACATGAAAACACCACTGTCAGTGCAATAGAGAAATAATAACTGTACGGGTATGTTAGTCTCCTAGTATTTTGTTGACGAGGCATTCAACACGATTTCTTTGGTGCAATATGATTGAGCTTCCATTATACATGTAGCCTTATTATTAACTTTGGTATTTTATTTTAGTTGCTGGTACAAGCGCCTCTTCATCTCAAAATAATCAACAGGTACGTTCAATTTTAAATTATTTATAAATTATTCATTGTCTTAAATCAAAATCAAACCTACTTTTGAAACCCATACATCTATAAATCAGGACTCTCATTTCAGTCATATTTGTCATTTGACTGGCAGTGAAATTGACACCCTGGAGGACTTACCTGTCATTCAGTTTTCATTTCATGATCTTTAAAGAATTAAATATAGTTAACTTTAAAATTTATAGGTGTAGAAACACTTCAAGACATTTTTAAAATTTGGATAATGCTCATCAATGTGAAATTCTTTGGAAAAATTGCCTTGTTAATTGGGAGGAAATAAAATGTCAAAAATTGCTGGACTGGAAAAAGTGAAAGCCCTGGTATATTTATGTACATGTATGTTGACTTTGAACATTAGGATAAATGTAAACAAAATTTGGTGTTCAATTTTAATGATGCTTTCTTGAATTAAATTTGACTGATTAATTGCACTTGTTTCCTGAACCATATTCTTAAATTATCAAGTTATATTATTCTACCAATATTATCGAGTTCAATAGTTTGATAAGTAAAATGGTTGATATACCCACATAATGTACATGTATATCTGAAAATTTACAAATTATTAGTGCTAAGGATCACATTAAAAATACTGATCGTTATTTGTCATCTTTTTGGACAATATCTAATTTTTCTAGGCATAATCTGAGCTATGATGTTCTCAAATTGATTATTTAACATTTAAAGAAAACAAAAACAAACAAAAAGCCAAAAAAAATTAGCAGTAGATAATCATCCACATGGGAGGAATAAGATATAGAAAAAGGCCTATCAGTAGATTATTAGTGGCACTAGCTTGTTTATACTGTAAACAGAAGATGTCAAATATTGCAAAAGTTTAAGTCATAATATTGACTGATGTGCTTTGAGAGATTCAACTTTCACAATATTGTAGTTTGCAAAGGGTTAAAAATCTCTTAAATGACGATCAGCGGCTTTAAGCTAAATTTAGTGATTATCAAACTCAAGTTAATTATGTATGGTGTGAAATTGATTTAAGACAATGAAAATAAACAAAAAAATACAAGGTCCACTAACTGGAAGGTAGTCCATTCCATTCAGCTATACAGTATGTGTAATTAAAAACTTCTATGATTTGGGGGAGGGATGATTAAAATATGTTTAATTTTGTAGTGTACAACTTTCATTAACCTTCATTCTAGTAAATGAATGATTATGTTGCCATGGCAAATCTTTTATGCTCTAAAAGGAATAAATCTACAAATTGGGAATATTCTTAGTTGTCAATTTTAGCAGTTTACTTTAAAAGAAAAATTCAAGAAAGATTTTGATATATTTGCGGTGAGGATGGATTGGAATTTCTGTCTATAAAATGATAACTGATAGAATGGATAACTGAGAATATCTTATTTTTCCAGTCCCTAACTGTTCCCAACCCCATTCATCTTGAATGCAGTCTATTGTTTAGTTGGCTTGGATTTCATAAATGTTAAAGTTGATGTGCATAAATTATTAGCTTTAATCGGTGTGGGGTGTTATTGATTAAATGCATGTACATGTATATACACACATACATGTGACATGTGTTCTGTATTGATCCATATACGATAACATGACATGACTTGAGAAAAAGCATACGTGGTACATGTATGTGAATAAATTAAAACACATAAGATCACTGATATTTTCATTGTTTTCTATTTATCCAACATATTATTGAGATCAAAGCCAGCTATTCATTAATAGAATCCTGAAAATTTTCCAGAAAATAAATTATAATTTCTCAGTTGCTTCTTTTCCGATTAATGTCTATTCATTTATCCCAAAATATGACAAAAACTAATGAACAAATCAGCAGAATGATTTGACATGACTATGTTACATTTTGTTCAGTGAATGAAACTAACTTATGATTAATATTCTAAAATTAACTGAGACTAGAATAACTTATTTTCAAAACAGGTAAGTGATATGAGGGTTGTAACTTACTTAAAACATAACAATAAAACCATCAAAACATTACAGAAATATAAAATAATAATACCTAAAAACTGAAATATTTTAACTTCATTCTTCAGCTGTACACCACATTAGTGCAGAATAGAAATATAGAACTTCTGAGATGGATACACATTAACCAAAATACATGCAACACACAACATATTGTATTTCTCCTACCCGGGCCTTATTCACTAAAATGTAAACTAAAATATTATAAGTATTTAGCATTTCTTTGTTTAAATTTTATCCACCAAAAGTCTGCAATTTAAGAGTATTTTAGTTTAAATTTTGGTAAATAAGACCCTTCATTATTACATGTACATGGGATTACATTGATCCTTAAAAAATATATTCAGCCCTCCTTCAAATATGAAGCATTTACTTTAAAGTAATTGCAAAATTGTACCGATGGTATCATTCAAAGTGTACGACGCCTACAACACCAATATGAACTTTCATTCTTCTGGAACACCTGTTAGAAAAATTGTTATTTTTCTTTTTGAAAAAATCTAATTTAAAAGCAAAAGGCTATGAGTTCCGAAACTTTAAGTTTATAAATTTTAAACAAAAGTCAAGTGGCTACATGTATCTATTTATCAAGACCTCACAGTACTAAATATTGAATTGGTTTGGCCCAACTGGAGTAACAAACAAAACTTATATTTTAAATCCCAACTAATCTTCATTTGGAAAATGCATCTTGGTGTATTTCTGGAAAGATAATTGTTTAGCCATGGGTCAGAAGAGCTTTGAATGTTAACTGCCAGTACATGTACACAAAGACAAACTACATTTAAAACCCTCATTTAGGACATAATTTGGCCCAATCCCTTCCCATGGAGGATATGTTATTTACATAGGTATTCGCTGAATGTAACCTCTTGCCTATTTAGAAAAATGTTGGGGGCTTTTATTCAAGTGTTATCTTCATCAAATATCAGTGTAAATGACATATTTCCATAATCTGTTTTGTTGTGAATATTGCTCATAAATATTTTGGGTATTAGTTCAATTTTATTTGGAATAAACTATTCTCAGAATAATGCCAGCAATATTCACTAAAACAAAATCACGAAGTTGGGGACTGATGCACCATATTTATTATTTTACAAATGAAAAAAATCTCATATCTTCATTTAAAGGAAGATAACATGAACTAGAATTTTTTAATTTGTTAAATAATATTCTTTGTAGAATATTCTTTTTAGAGCAGTTATGTTAGTGGAACCTTCCTACGTATATATTTAATGCATTCATGAATTGTGTGAAACATGCATTTTAGTGTTGTTAATGGAGTTTAATGTCAGATTTGTTAATACAAAGCCTGGAAATAGGGCGTCTGCGACAGACATTGTGGGCCACAATTCAGACTTGGTAAAGCACAATCCCTCTGATGACTGTCATTTTATCTCGAACAGATTTGTTTTTATTGATATAAGTAAATACTTGTGCCTTGCTCGATATCAAAATTTCAGTTACTACAAATGTAGTTCACGGATGCCTAACATTTTGACTGATAAATTGATGTACATATTCCATTAATATTACTTTAAATGCATTTTCTACTCAATAATAGTTATATTATTACAATTTAATTCACCGATTAATGTGAATATATGATGTGGAAGATAATTTACATACAATCATGGATTGTTAATTTCACATATGATCACCTGTGTAATTAAGGATTATGAAAATTAATTTAAAAGATCAGGTGTAATTATTCAGAAATGTTGAGTAAATTAACATGTCTCCTCCCTAATAATTTCAAAATTCAGACATTATTTGGAAATATTTAGTTTTCAATAACATACCTGTTTCTGATCATAAATTGATATTTAATGGATGTTAGAAGGTACATGAACTTTGTAAATCATGCCCATTTCTGTATTTTCACATTGATCGGAATACTGCAAGACAATTTTTTGCAGTACATACTATGGCATTCATTCTTCCTTAGAAGATGTTAATCATTAAATTGGACTACTACCATTACTTCTAAATATATTTTTTATCTTAAAGCTATCTAGTTCTTTCATTTGATCTATGTAAGGGATTAATTTTTCTTTTTTGGCAGAATGTGTGCTATAGTAATGCTTGAACATACCCAGATTTGGGTATTGAAGGACTAGCCTACCCCTCTACTACGCAACTGTCCTTAAAAATGTATCTTGTATTATTATTATTATACATGCATCAGTAACGCAAAATAAAATCAGAATGGTTGTCGTGAAATTGTTTATTTGAAACCAAACAAGTTACAAATAAAGCATAGCAAATATAAGTATAACTACATAGTTTGTATGTTTTCTGATTAAAGAACTGGACTTATATATCGTTTCCATAGCAACATAAGATAATCTGTGTATAGATATCATTTTTTCTGCTATATCTTCAATAATATAAATCTGTTAAAACTATTTGTTCTGAGAATATATTAAAGTTTTAGGTAACCAAACAAATCTGGGATGGAGGAAAAAGATCTGCTATAAACAAAATTCTTCTGGTGTAACTCCATTATAAGATTCAATCCTATCATTTCATTTTGTACAAAATCATTGCCGTGTTATAATAATACTTTGGATGTTTTGGTGTTTTTGGTCTTGATTGATAAGTAGGGTCATATTGTGTCATTTTTCTCTCGTTGTGTGCATTATTTTCTTACAATTTTGTCTTGAATACCGTGCTTCAGTTTAGCCCTTTGTTTGTTTTAGGCTGGAAGAAATATTGCCTGTTCATGGTGCGGCAAAATATTCACGACCAAATATCATGTGAATCGACATATAAAAGGTGTTCATCTTAATTATAAGATTTCCTGTGAAATTTGTGGCAAAAAATATACGCAAAAAGATAATCTAATGGAACATATAAAACGTGAACATCCAACAATACATTTTGTAGAGTCAGATAGTATTTAAGATTTCCGTAATCTCTATATAACCTCTTACAATTTTAACTTAACAAATTTTCTATCCACTAAAGACCTTTGTATGGATTAGAAAACT